AGCTCGGCCGAGCCTCTCCGCTCCGCCAGCATCACCTGCAGAGGGCCGGGAATGTTCCAGAAATTTCTGGGAATTTTTGGGGAATTTTTCCCATTTTTTTTAAATTTTTTTTCGATTTTTTTCTGATTTTTTTTTTGATTTTTTATGATTTTTTTTGATTTTTTTTTGATTTTTTTTTGATTTTTTTTCAACTTTTTTGGGTTGTTCTGTGGTCAGATCTTGATCCCAAAATCTCTGGAATTTTCTGGGTTTTTTAGGAATTTTTTGGGAATTTTTTGGGGATTTTTCCCATTTTTTCCCATTTTTTGGGATTTTTTTTTTTATTTTTTTCCAATTTTTTACGTTTTTTTTCAGACTTTTTTGATTTTTTTTCAACAGTTTTGGGTTGTTCTGAGGTCAGATCTTGATCCCAAAATCTCTGGAATTTTCTGGAGTTTTTGGGAATTTTTAGGGAATTTTTTGGGGGATTTTTCCCATTTTTTTTTGATTTTTTTTCGATTTTTTTCTGATTTTTTTTGATTTTTTTTCGATTTTTTTTTGATTTTTTTTTTATTTTTTTCAACTTTTTTGGGTTGTTCTGAGGTCAGATCTTGATCCCAAAATCTCTGGAATTTTCTGGGGTTTTTAGGAATTTTTTGGGAATTTTTTTGGGATTTTTCCCATTTTATTTGGATTTTTTTGGGATTATTTTTCGATTTTTTTTTGATTTTTTACGGGTTTTTCTCGGATTCTTTTTGATTTTTTTTCAACAGTTTTGGGTTGTTCTGAGGTCAGATCTTGATCCCAAAATCTCTGGAATTTTCTGGAATTTTCTGGAGTTTTTGGGAATTTTTAGGAATTTTTGGGGGAATTTTTCCTGGCATTTTTTAGGAATTTTCGGGGCTGTTTTTGATGGCACCACCACGTCCTTCTTGAGGATCTTCACCGCAAACAGCTCGGCCGAGCCTCTCCGCTCCGCCAGCATCACCTGCAGAGGGCCGGGAATGTTCCAGAAATTTCTGGGAATTTTTTGGGAATTTTTCCCATTTTTTTCCCTTTTTTTTTTTGATTTTTTTTCGATTTTTTTCTGATTTTTTTTCAATTTTTTATGGGGTTTTTTGGATTTTTTTTTTATTTTTTTTCAACAGTTTTGGGTTGTTCTGAGGTCAGATCTTGATCCCAAAATCTCTGGAATTTTCTGGGGTTTTTAGGAATTTTTTGGGAATTTTTTGGGGATTTTTCCCATTTTTTTTGATTTTTTGGGATTTTTTTTTATTTTTTTCCAATTTTTTACATTTTTTTTCGGATTTTTTTGATTTTTTTTCAACAGTTTTGGGTTGTTCTGAGGTCAGATCTTGATCCCAAAATCTCTGGAATTTTCTGGAATTTTCTGGAGTTTTTGGGAATTTTTAGGAATTTTTGGGGGAATTTTTTCCCGGCATTTTTTAGGAATTTTCGGGGCTGTTTTTGATGGCACCACCACGTCCTTCTTGAGGATCTTCACCGCAAACAGCTCGGCCGAGCCTCTCCGCTCCGCCAGCATCACCTGCAGAGGGCCGGGAATGTTCCAGAAATTTCTGGGAATTTTGGGGGAATTTTTCCCATTTTTTTCCCATTTTTTTTTATTTTTTTTCGATTTTTTTCTGATTTTTTTTCGATTTTTTATGGGGTTTTTTGGATTTTTTTTGATTTTTTTTCAACAGTTTTGGGTTGTTCTGAGGTCAGATCTTGATCCCAAAATCTCTGGAATTTTCTGGGGTTTTTGGGAATTTTTAGGGAATTTTTTGGGAATTTTTTGGGGGATTTTTCCCATTTTTTTTTCATTTTTTTTCGATTTTTTTCTGATTTTTTTTTGATTTTTTATGATTTTTTTTTGATTTTTTTTTTTTTTTTTTTATTTTTTTTCAACAGTTTTGGGTTGTTCTGAGGTCAGATCTTGATCCCAAAATCTCTGGAATTTTCTGGAGTTTTTGGGAATTTTTAGGGAATTTTTTAGGGATTTTTCCCATTTTTTTTGGATTTTTTTGGGATTATTTTTCGATTTTTTTCTGATTTTTTACGTGTTTTTCTCCGATTTTTTTGATTTTTTTTCAACAGTTTTGGGTTGTTCTGAGGTCAGATCTTGATCCCAAAATCTTTGGAATTTTCTGGGGTTTTTAGGAATTTTTTGGGAATTTTTTTGGGATTTCTCCAATTTTTTTTGATTTTTTGGGAATTTTTTTTGGATTTTTTTCTGATTTTTTACGGTTTTTTTCGGATTTTTTTTTGATTTTTTTTCAACAGTTTTGGGTTGTTCTGAGGTCAGATCTTGATTCCAAAATCTCTGGAATTTTCTGGAATTTTTGGGAATTTTTGGGGGAATTTTTGGGAATTTTTCCCAATTTTTTCTCCCCAATTTTCCCGGATTTTTTCGAGTTTTTTTGGTTCTTTTGGGGCCGTTTTTTTCCCATTTTTCCAGATTTTTTAGGGGAATTCCTGGAATTTTTTGGGAATTCTGGGATCTCACCTCCCCCAGCTTTATCCAGGTGATTTTTGGGGTCATTTTGGGTCATTTTGGGTCATTTTTGGGTCATTTTTGGGTCATTTTGGGTCATTTTTGGGTCGTTTTTTTCCCATTTTTTCCCATTTTCCCCCGGATTTTTTTGGGAATTCCCAGGAATTCCCAGAATTTTCCAGGAATTCCAAGTTCTCACCTCCCCCAGCTTTATCCAGGTGATTTTTGGCTTCATTTTGGGTCATTTTGGGTCATTTTTGGGTCATTTTAGGTCATTTTTGGGTCATTTTGGGTCATTTTTGGGTCATTTTGGGTCATTTTTGAGTCGTTTTTTCCCATT